ATGAGAAGAAAAGAGAATGTTTCACTCAATTTATGACTTGTCAACCTGATGTCCAGAGTTAATGTTCTTTAAAATCCAGAGACGTACTTAGAGGGAACTCTCACTACTCCATTGCTTGCTTTACTTAGCTCCATGGCCACCCATGACTTCTGGAAATAGGAAGAGAGTGTTCTCTGCTCATTGTCTGCTCTCAGGATTACGCATGGCCGCAAATATGAGAATGGCGAAAGAAGAGCAACTGAAATGAGATAAACGTGTACAGATCTCTCAGGTGATGCTCCAGAAGAAGGCACAGGGCTGATCTGGAGGATCTGCTCATGGAGTTGTCAGGGACCCACTCACCACTCTGCTTTCTCCATGGCCTGGCCTCAGCCCCATGGTCCACCATGGGAGCTGGAGCCCTGCCTCTCCTGAGGGCATTCAAGGGGACAGGAAGGAGAAGGGACAAAGAACAAGGGAAGAGAGGAGAGTGCAAACTTCTTGCCTTTGTGTTTCATTTTTGTTTTTAATTGCCAGAGGGTGTGTGCACTTGCCAGAGAGGGACAGAGAGAGGAAGAGAGGGAGAAAGCATCTATAGTGGAGCATCGATGTGCCTCAATCCCTTCTCCTCCATTTCTCCAGCCTGTCAGGATCTGGGTCACACACACACACACACACACACACACACACACACACACAGCATGTTTTTTAAGCTGTCAAGGACAGGCTCTCAGTCCTCAAAGCCCAGGATTGACAATATCCAGAAACCCAACCCAGCCAAAAAGAGGACTAAGCAAAAAGAGAGACTTACTAGAAAGATAGTGAGCCATCTTATAGAAGTCTAAGACAAAGAGCATGTGTCTGAGCCATAGAAGGCTAGAATCAGGGGGCTGGCAGGTGGCATGGTGGTTAAAGGCACTGGACTCCCACATGGCCGACTGTTTGAGTCCCGGACCTGGCAGCTTGCTTTCCCACTTTGGCTTGCTTTCTCACTTTCCCTCTCTCTTCATTTCATTCTGTCCCTCTTTGATCAAATTAAAATAAAGTTAAATAAAATAATTCTTAAAAAAAAAAAAAGGAAGGAGGCTAGAATCAAACACCACATCAACTATGTGGGATCAGGCTCCTTTAACCACTAGGCTACAGGGCTAGTCCACTTCTTACTTTCAAAGAAGGCTCTCAGGATCACCCACGCAATTCCCACGGGCCAGAACTTCGTCACATAACCACTTAGCAACAAGGGAGGCTGGCAAATGGAGTCTTCATGCTGGGCAGCCACGTTCCCAGCTTGAAGTCAGGGGTTCCAGATGACTGGAAGTGTATATTAGGGGGCAGCCACCAATGTCTTTTACACGAGGGCTCAGATTTCACATCACCCTTTGCCCGGTGCACACCCGAGGTCATCCTCAAGTCCAAGTTCACTTCCATGGAAGTGTCTGTATGACCTGAGCTAACCTGAGGACCTTCTCGGGAAGCGTGTGGTGGCATGACATGAGCGACTGAGTGTTGAGAACCCATCCCTACCCTCAAGGAGCTTATGTCCTTTAATGATTCTCCTCTTTTCTTATTTTAAGTTTATTTCTTCCATGAGAGAGGGAGACAGACAGACACACAAATACCCCAGCAAGGCGTTCACACTGCAAACCTCCCCACAGCCTCAGCCAGCCAGGACTACAGGCATGTACACACAGGCTTGGTGTGCACAGAGGGGCCCCAGGACTTCCCTGTGTGGCCTCAGCGTCACAGAGTTGTTACCACTGCACTACCACAGCTGACCTCAATGGCTGTCCTTTTCATTTTTTATGCAGGGATACCACCTCCTCAGAGCCCAGGATTGACAACATCCAGAAACCCAGCCCAGCCAAAAAGAGGACTAAGCAAAACGAGAGACTTGCTAGAAAGATAGTGAGCCGTCCTGTAGAAGTCTGAGACAAGAGCGTGTGTCTGAGCCACAGGAGGCTGGAATCAGACACTGCATTGCCATGTGGGCTCTCCCTCTCCCTCTCTCCATGCGTGTCTCTCTTACTGATGGCATTATTTCCCCATAAAGGGGACAGCATGGCAGCTTACAGTTTCAGAGCTTTACATTTGACACCTTCAGCCACTTAAGAATTTACGAAAGTCACTGACTAGACGTTTTCTTTCTTTCTATTCTTTTTTAAGAGAAAGACTTTTGCTGTAGGGTGTGTGTGCTCACCAGAGAGACAGAAAGTGAGAAATCACCCCTCAATAGGGATGGCCATGGCACAATCCCTTCTCCCCCATTCTCCTCTCGGGATTTTGGGCACACATACACGTGCACCCCACCATGAGTTTTAAGCTACAGGGTTCAGGATTTGAACTGTGGTTGACTATGTGGAAGTCCAGCGACATAACCATTATGCCATCTGCTGGTCCCCCAGATGTTTTCTCTGGTACTAAAGAAAAAAGCACCCAGGGGGAGATGCACTGGTCCAGGTACAAAAGTAAAAAGCACCCAGGGGGAGATGCACTGGTCCAGCTCAGTCAGGCACTCACCCAGCATAATCACGTGCCCACATGGGCAGGGCCAGCTGAACCACATGGACAGAGCAGGAGAAGGGCAGTTCCCACAAACAGGTAGCTTATTGGGCAGACTAGAACAATCGATCTCCATGGCAACAGTCATTCTCCAAGCTCCAGTGACTGATTCTCGCAACAGGTCGAAATATTCTGGGAAACAGTCCCAGAGCAGCTGTCCTCGGGCACTCACACACGGCTCTGGCTCTGTTACTCCCATTTCCAGAGGCCTGCATCCCTCCCCCCTTACCTGCTCACATCCACTGAAGAAACAGGCTCTCTGGTCACCCACAGCTCCAAAGACAGACATATGAACCTGTCCGGCTGCTGCCCTTGCCTCAAAAGGGTTTATCTCCAAATCAGCAGGAAGCCAAACACTCAAGAATCAGACTGGAAATTGTGGGGAGAGAGAGAAGCCACAGGGACTAGCTGGATCAGAAGGAGAGTCCACCCCACAGGCCCAGTGCCCCTGGGCATGATGCCAAGAGAGTGTGTAGAGCTGACTTCAGGGACGGCTACTCCCCACTGTGCTGTGCACAGGCTGCTCCTGGGAGCTAGAAGCTCCGGGCAGCACATCTGCCTGCTTCTTGGGGAAGAATGGATTGCAGACATGGGAATCAGGTTTTCCCAACAAACCCCTGCAGCTCCTATGCAGCAGAATAACCCCACACACACACCCAAAGATGACCATGACTATGTGACAAGAGAGACTTTGCAAATGTAACTAAGCTTATGAATCTTGGGGTAGGATGAGGATACGGGATGACCTAGGTGGGCCCTTCTAATCACAGGAGTCCTTAAAATTGGAGAACCTTTCCTAGGTTTGATCAGAAATGAGGAGAAAGGGACCAGCAGTTGGCAAATGGCTATGTCGCTGGACTCCCACGTAGTCGACCGCGGTTCACGTCCTGGAACCAGTGGCTTAAACTCACGCCGGGCATGTGTGCGTGCATGCCCAAGATCCCAAGAGAAGAATGGAGAAGGGATTGCGGCGTGGCCATCCCCCCTGGGGGATGATTTCTTGCTTTCTGTCTCTCTGTCTCTCTCTGTCTATCTGGTAAGTGCACGCGCCCTATAGCAAAAACCTCTCAAAAAAAAAAAAAAAAAAAAGAAAAGAAAAAAGAAATGAGGAGAAAGAGTCAGAACAAATTTAGAGCCTGAGAGGTATTTGGCCTGCCACCACTATCTTTGGAAATGGAGGACGTGGGGAAGGCCTAGGGCGTAGTGGTTAGGGGAGCCAGATCCCATCCAGCTGACAGGTTCAAGTCCCAGCTCTAGTGCCTTGAAAAGAGCACAAGGCACGTGTGCATGCGACCAGATGGAGGGACGGAGGGAAGGGTTAGGGTGTGTGCATGTCTGGGAGATGCTTTCTCTCTTTCTCCCTCTCCCCTCTTTCTCAAGTCCACACACACCCTCTGCTATAAAAGAGAGAAAATGGAGGAAAGGGGCCAAAAGTGGTGGAGTTAGGGTAGCTTCTAGAGACTGAAAATAGCCCTCCGCTGACACACAGCAAGGCAGTGGGACCTAGGATCTATTTTCCCCAGAGCCAACCAAGAGAAACACGGACTGTGATACCAGAGGTTAGCCCAAAGAGACCTGTGCCAGGCTTCTGACCGGAAGAATTATGAGATCGTTAGCGTCATTTTAGGGTGCTCAAGATTCTGTTCATTTCTTACATCTGTGATAGGAAATGAGTACGCACTGGTCTTCCTGCATACAACTTTGAGGACGAGAACAAAATGGTGAACACCATCAGGGAGAGTTTCACAGTCGCAGAGCAGCAGTGATCGGGACCCTGGCAAGTTCACTCCATCTTAGACTGAGAGAAGCCACAGGTGTCAGGTGGAAGTGAGCTGATCCTGCGTTTTCCAGAGAACATGGATCTCCAGCACGTACCAAATCACGCCTACAGGATTAATCACTCAGTAAACAATGAGAGAATGAAAGTCCCTGCAGGGGCAGGCAGTGGTGCAGCAGTAAAACACAACACTGTGAGGCCGACCCCGTGGGGAGGTTCGGGGTCACTCCTGGAGACCCCCTTTTGTATACCAGGCACATGCATGTCCATTATCCAGGGCTGGCTGAGGCTGGAGGTAAACTAGACCCAGTTGGAGGTGCAGTCTGTCTCTCTCTTCCTATGTCTCTCATTCATGGAAGAAATAAATAATAAACCTTTTTTTAAAAGAAAGAAAAAAAAAAACTCCTGCAAAAAAAAAAAATTAATTATTGGGCCAGCCAGTGGCATGGTGTTGAGGCAGCTGGATCCCCCATGGCCACCTACACAGTTCAAGCCCCAGCCCGGCAGCTTGAATACACATTGGGTGCGTGTGCATGAATGCTCCAAATCCTCAGAGGAGAATGCAGGAGAAGGGATCGTGGTCTGACTGTGCCTTATGGGGAGTGATTTCTCACTTTCCATCCCTACTCCACCCTCATCCCCAGCAACCACACGTGCCCTGCAGCAAATTTAAAAAGAAAAAATTCTTTCTCTGTATAGTGTAGCTTCTTCCTTGACTTGCTTAACTTTTTTAGGGCAGCCTCACAGACTCTAGTTGGCTACCTTATCTTTAGTGATCATTTTGCCTTATTCTCCTGGCTCTGATAGCGATAATTACAAGTTGGGAAATAATAGTATAAGTTTTTAAAAAATAGTAATGATTCTCAGTTTGACTAACCCCTTGAGGCATATGTTTGAGAAGCTCCCTACCAATAGGACTTCCTGTGGGTGGGAGAGGCCACCTCTCCCCCAAACCCTGAGAATGCCAGATCTTTGCTTTCTCAGCAGCCCTTGCAGTTTGGACACAGATGTGTGACCTCACCTCGAGCATCCTTCTGCCCTCTGCAGGCTTTGCCATAAGAGCTAGAGAAACACCTAGATGCAGAATTTGCTCCCAGTGTAAATGCAAGCTGGCAGCAGTGTGGCAGTAGGACTGAGACCCCAGGGCAGAGCGGAAGTGGAACAAACCCTGAGCCTGGAGTCTGGCAGTAGCAGCGTCCTCACTTGGTCGGAGAAAACTGGGAGTTTGTCCTGGAAGTTTAGCCTTGAACTCAGTCAACACCCCTCCCTCTGAGATACTGCGACCTGCCTGGTAACTTTTTGTACAAACTCCTTCTCCACTTAAGTCATCTAGAGGTGGTTTTCGGGACTTGCATCTAGAATCTCTGGCACACACCTTGTAGAGATACTGAGCATGTTCTAGTTTTTGCTATTGATAATAACAGAAAATACCAGAGTCTGGGTAGTTTATAAAAACACAGGTCTATTCAGCTCACAGTGTGGAGGTCCAAGGTCCAGGTGCCATGACGTGGTAGAGGCCAAGGGAGCTGCATCTGTGTTTGGGTTTCTGTGTTCTGGTCTCACTCTCCTTACAACCCACCAGAAGCCAGTCATGGGAGCCCAACTCTAATGATCAAAACCCTAATCTCCTGCCAAAGGCCCGACCTTTTAATAGCAGAGGCCAATCAAGTTTTCATGCTCTTAATCCGATCACAACCAGAGGCCAAACAAGTTTTCATTATTTTAATCCCATCACAACGAAATCTGAACACATGAATCTTTCAGGGACACATTTATGATAACGGAGGGTAACTTTCATTCGTGAACACTCCATATGTCCGTCCAGGGAACGTAAAGCAATTAATGAGAATCAGTTACTCACTACAAATAAAATGCCCTATTGTCTTGGAACAAACACAAAGCATAGTAGATATCAAAAGTGGTATTACAGTCTTTTCTTAAGAAAAGACAAAGTCACCAGAAAAATAGCCAGTGAGTGAGTGAGAAATCAGCCTATTGTGCTAAAGCACTGAGATTGAGGGGAAGTGGATTATTTGTTATGGCAACTTAACCCAACCTATGCTGACTTGTAGTCATACATCCTAAACTAGGGTTGCCAGATAGTCCTCACAACATATCAGACCCCTGTTGATATGAATGTGAAAAGTCTGCTTTTCATTTATTTTTTTAGAAAGTTTTGCTATAGGGCATGTGCACTCGCCAGAGAGACAAAGAGACAGACTGTGAGAAATCACTCCCCAGGGGATGGCCATGCCACAGTCCTTTCTCCTCCAGTCTCCTCTTGGGATTTTGGGCATGCACACACATGTGCCTGGTGTGAGTTTCAAGCCACCAGGTCCAAGATTCGAGCTGCCATCTGCCTTGTGGGAGTACAACAATGTAGCCATTATGCCATCTGCTGGTCCTTACTGTGAAAGGTCATATGTTAGATTTTGCATATGAACAATTGTTTATTTTGTTTTTTATTTTAATATGATTGTCTGTTTTTATAAACTTGTTTATTTTTTAATAAAAAATAACTTGTATTAGTTATATAAA